ATAAATAAAATATCACCTTGAACTAGTGCTCCTTGTGCTGTGTGCCCCAATCAAGTGCCAACTCATGTAACTGAAAACAAGCTAAAAGCTTCTCTGGCTAATTAATGTTTATCTTATCCAAGCGAATACAACTTGAAGGCATTTTGCAATGACGCGCACTGCGGCCAATGGCCAAAACAATAAGCAAATGAGTTAACGCACAGATAAGCGTTAAAAATAAATACAAATATATAAACAACAAGAAATATAACTAGACTAGCATATATACACTATATATAAATCTACAGAGACAACAAGCTTCATATGGATGATGAATATTATGAATATTTTCCCTATGACCGCAGTCATATGAGAAAAACGTGCGTATACTTAATAATATATGGTTTTCGAATTGTTGTTGTTTTTGTTGTTGTTGCACTTAACTGTCATGTAAAGCATTGTTAAATGTATTAATTCTTAAGAAAAAGAAACCACACTGAGGCACGCCCACTTGCTGGCAAACAAACACCCACATAAACACTTTCGCCTTAATTTGTTTTTGTTTTTTTGCTTTTGCTGAACAATCGGTCAATTGTGAGTCAGCTAAATATATATATTTATATATATGTTTGTATATATGTATGTATGTATATGTAACTGTTACCTGTATTTCTATAGAAATCGCAATATGTCTTGACCCCTCCTGCTCTCACATATTTTGTTGACTTCTCCTTTTGTCATAAAACAGCTTTCAATTGATTTCTGCTAGCACGACAGTAAAAGATCTTTGAGTCGTGTACTCAAATATTGTTCACCTTTTATAAGAGGGCGCAATGCAGACAATGAGATATTTTATAGGTACATATAGGATAGATGAAGAAACAAACAACTATTACAAATTTTATTTGTATTGAAAAGTTATAGCCAAATATTTTTCATAGCTTTGGCAAAATCATTATAGGTGAATAGTTTACTGAATAACTGTCTGTTTTACTGTTTATGTTTCACATATAAATATTTATTATTTTTATACTTTGAAATGTCATTATACCCATATATTTCCTTACTGATTGAATATAGCCTAAAAGGGTCTTAATTATTATTAATA